GTAGGCAGCTTATATTTGTCTTGCTCGCGTGGTAAAGGTGCAATTAGTCGTTCGTTCTTAGTTCCTTTATATCGACTCGAGGTCATTCCTTATGATACTCGGTGACTGTTACTCTCTTTCTGATGAATAAATGGTTTTTTTATTGACGATTTGTCGTGCACATAAGTTATCGCGTTTGACTGCTGCCTTTATCGGGATCAAGGCTAAGTCTCTGAGAGTGAGACTTTAGCATCTAGACAAATTAACTGCTATCATGGACACCAGTCATTTAGTTAATGCACCCCTCTGTAGGAGTTTAAAGCCTTTGTGTTGTGAGGTATCAGAAAGGTATGAAAGCAAAAGGAAGAAGCAGTGATTGATGCTGTCGGTTACAGCGACTAATTAGGCCCACTTTAAGAGTGTACTTCAACAAAGATCCATTTGAGTGTGTGAGAATGATGCCTGTAATTATCCTCAAGTTTAACATTCTATTATCTAGCTATGACATGTAGCAGATTAACGTTGTATTGTTTTCTGACTTCACCAGTTTGCAATTTTGCCTCTCTTTTTTTTTCCAGTGGTCAACCAGTCTCCTCATTAAAACCTTTAACTCCACAAAAGTAACCAAATTTTAGGTGAATTTCTTCTAGGCACCTACTATACCTGGGTAAATACTATAAAGAAAAATCACATGACAGCTCATAATGTTGTTTGTTTTCTTTTGTTTCTGTTCTGCCCGTATTGACTAGCTTTGATTATGTAATTGGTTAAAGCTGCCACGCAGGACTTGTCACAAGCGTTGTCAAAAAAGGATCTATCTATTACATCAAACTTGCGTAATTGAGTCTTAGAGGAATATATACACTCACAAAAAAACAACGGCTGGGCTCAAAATTGTTTAAAAAATAGAGCAGCCATCTTTACAGTCCTTTTTTTTTTTTTTTGAGCACACACACAATTGTTTGCAGCAAGCTTTCATATACGAGATGCTGTTAACTCAGAAATGACTTTGTAAAAACTTTGATTTTGAACAGAATTAAATACGAAAAAGTTTCATACACTTTTAGAATTTCACGTGTCTAGAGAGAACGATAATGAAATATAAAACACTGTAAATTGACAAATTTTACTTTTATCTTCTTTTGATTTTAACAAATCATTTTCAAGACTCGTGATCATTAAAGAAGTGTTTTCAATGCAATAAACTTTAACATTTGTTCAGTATAAAATGGTAAAAAATTAACCAATTTTTTCTTGTAGTCTCTAACGGTACAGCTGTTAGTGGAACTCGTTACAAAGTTTTGTAGCCAAAATGCCCTATACTGACAAGAAAGCTATTAAATTGATTACATCGACAGCTTAAAAAAAGTAGTCTACAACAGATAATTGTCAATTAACTAACAGTAAGGCTGTGTGATGTATTGAGCCATGAGAAATGTCTGTCAAACTCTTAGCTGCAGAGTATTTAAAAACGACGTTGATAACTGTCCTGTTAAAATGACAAACCGATGCTGCGAAAAGAGAAGAAAAGTACAATAAAATTAAACAAAAGCAGTAAACGACGATATATAAGCGAAAAAACGGATGTTGCTGAAAAATTCTTTTTGCATTACACTTACAACAAAGGTTTCACAGCATTTGTTCAGATATACGACTCCATCGCTCTGATTGGGTAAGTTTTACATTATATTGTATAACCCTTCAAAGCGCAACAATCAGTGAGGCCATGCAACATGGCGGCTCAAATGAGAAGACTATTTGCAATATTTCAGGAAATTGCTGCAGTTCTTTTCAATTTCAAATGCTAAGAAAAGAAGAGAGAAAAGTTTGGTAAAACTTCTGCTTAAAGAAGGTCGGAGAACGGGAATAAAAATATAAATTTGCTTACATCTAACCAAAAAGCAGAGAGGTGACTTGATGC